TTTAAAAAAAAACGACTTCAAAAAATATAAATAAACCATTTCCACATAATAGGTTCTGAATTCAGTGTTAAGACATAGCGTATTGAAAAATGAAGCCCCATCTTCAGAAGTTATAATGTTGAAATTACTTTGCACTTTTTAGTTTTTTTAATTCAACTTTTTTACCTTTTGAGTGGATCAAAATTCAAGGGAATATTGTAAAAATTTCATCGGAAAAGTAATTAAAGCTAGGGTGCCGTGTTATGTACCTATGTCAAGCGCATCCACTGAGCTACCACGGCTTTCGTCCATATCGTTACTCGTACGTAACAAGTTCATTTCTGAACATAGGAACACAGTCTTTAGTCACCTGCATCTATCAACTTTCTGTACGCCTTACCATCATAGTCAATTATTCCAAAAACAATAAACATTGCGTGAAAACACGTAATTTAAACATTAAATACAAAATAAAATTAATTAACATTATTCGTATTTACTTCAAAACGACTTAAGAATGATTAATTTTTGAATTAATAATAATAATAAAGCCTCTTTATTCCTTCTCTACGTTTCTACATTTTACATTTAAATGTTGTTTAGTACTTATTGTTAGTATTATTAACTTATATTAGTTATTGTTTGTACGATCAACTGCGTATATTTTCAGAGATACTGCGGAGTTTTGAAGAAGAGGGTCATTAAAGCTATTTACAACCTTAAACCGAGAGAGAGGCCAAAGTTAATTATTTATTTCTTTAAATTTTTAGAAATAAATATATTAACTTTGGCCTCTCAGTATACTATGAAAATTTGATGTATGTTTACCAAAATAAAGGTAGTTTTAGTAAAAAAAAGTGACATGACAAAGTGACATGGTGCTACCAGTTTCTCGATCCCACAGAGTCAGTAATTCATTCTTGGGGCAATGTATACGCTATTACAACAAAGTTTAAATATTTAATTTAAAAAAAACTGTATAAAAAGTTAAAAAGGGTTATTATGATATAAATTAATACATGGTTGATAATAACCCCTGGGAATGAGGTGGTCGCTTCCAAGCTGTTTCAAAAAGAAATTTTGTAAATATTTTGTGACCCTTGACATTGTAAAATTTATTTTTAAAAAAAGTTCCTGCTGGGTTTCTTGCTGGTTCTTCTCAGGACAGAGGTTTTTCTTCGAACCAGTTGTAACGTAAAATATTGACTTTCAATAAGAATTACTTGTAATCTATATGGAATAAAAAATTATTCTATTCTATTCTATTCTATGGATCGGCCATTTTGAGTAAAGGCCTCCTTCACCTGCTTCCACAATTCTCTATTTTTCTTTTACTCATCCAGTCTTTTCCTACAAACTGTATTATGTCATCAGCCCACCGTTTATGTGGTCTTCCAACTTTCCTTTTGCCAGATACCGGTCCCTTCAATCATGTGGTTTGTATTGTCCATCTATTATTTGGGTATCGTAGGACGTGTCCTGCCCATTTCCACCACAACGTTAAAGCTTGCGTGATTGCATCTGTTATTTTTGTTCATTGTCTTATACTTTTCTTGACTTTTTGTATTTTATTTATATTTAAGATGTTCCTTTCCATTGCTCTCTGTGTTGTATATATTTTCTGATTCACTTTGTTTGCATATGTCCGCGTTGGGCAGCCGTATACAGGCAAGATGCAGGTGTCCATTATAATAATCTTTATTTTCATACCGTATTTTCCTTTTAGAATTTAATGACCAAAATTTTCTCCACGCAATGTTTTTTTTATTGTTATATAATTATAATATTTGAATTATTCATGCAATATTATATTACTTTTTACCAAATTTTTAACCTTTGTTTAAATATACTAACATTTTGTATAATTTTTAGTACATAAGGGAGTCTATTAAACAGTTTTATAGCTTGCTTTGTAACACTATACTCAACTATTTTTAATTTTGTTTTAAAAAAATTGGATAAATCTCTTGCCATTTTATCATCAGTTTCATACTTATTCGGATGTGTGATTAGATCAGTGAGTAAAGTCAGAGTATACAAATAAGGCACAGTGAGGATTGTCACCCTATCTAGTGGAGGAAGGCCGCTCTGCTACTCGTATAACGAACGAACCTTTCTACTTACCATGGCTTTAGTAATATAAAATATTTACAATAATTTTTGTTAATGACTGTTTAAAAATCGACTTCTTGTACATCTAAGTTTGCGAGTACGAGGCTACCACTCGAGAACCTTTCTTTTGCATCGTTTTTTAGTTCCCCAAGGTATGTGTCCAGTCTGTGTCCACGGCGACATCTGACCAGCCCACAAACAGTTTAGTTTTATTTTTATAGAAGAGGGGGCAAACGAGCATGCGGCTCACCAGATGGTAAGTGACTACCGCCGCCCATAAACAACCGCAACACCAGGGGAATTGCATGTGCGTTGCCGACCTTTTAGAAAGGAGTAAGCTTTTTTCTTGACGGTCCCTAAGTCGTATCGGTCCGGAAAAATCACCGGTGGGAAATAATTCCTCAGAGAAGTTGTACAAGGAAGAAAACTCCTTTTAGCGGCTGGAACTATGTAGTCCGATGGGTTATCAGCGATCACTATAGATTATATAATAATAATAATAATGTCCTCCAGACCGAATTTCGGTCACGGCGGCCTGCCTCAACGGAGGCTAGCCATCGGTGCAGGACAGGATTATAGTGCCCAAGTGTATGCGCAAGCACAGGTGCACTCTCTATTCCCTCACTCTCATAATCCGATAGGACGGTAAACCGACACGATCGGAGAGAGATCGGGCGCAGGACCAACGGCTTTACGTGCTTTCCGAGGTACGGGGGTGAGACACCGCCAACTTCCTGACTCCGAGCAACTACTGAGAATTTCTTGACGGCAAAATTCAATAATTAATTTTTAGCCCGATCCGGGATTCGAACCCAGGACCTCATGATCAACAGTCGCACTACTACAACCACTAGACCAACGAGGCAGTTATATATAGTCATAATGATAGTGGTTGCAACTCTTTTTTATACAATAACGTTGAGTCCATCTGATGGTAAGTGAATATTGTGGTCCATAGACATCTACATTCAACTGCCTAGTTGGTTTAGTGGTTGTAAACGCGGTCGCCAATCATGAGTTCCTGGATTCGAATTCCAAGTCGGGCCAAAATCAGTTTTTGGGTTTTTCTGACAAGCAGTTCTCAGTAGCAGCTCGGAGACAGGAAGTTAGCGGTGCTTCACCCTCATACCTCGGTAAGTACGTTAGGACTTAGGTCTTTCGCCTGATCTCTCTCCGGTCGTGTCGGATTACTGTCGCATCGGACAATGAGAGTGAGAGACTTCACATATGCTGGCGCATACACTTGGCCACTATAATCCTTTAGTCTAGTCTTCGGTTTCGGTCACGGCGCCTAGTCTCCGTTGAGACTGACCGCCGAGATCGAAATTCGGTTTGGAGTATAATACATCTATCTTCAATTAAGAATCAAAATGCAGTTACCTTGTCACCCCTGATGACTAAGATGGAACGCCTCATTTCCAGTAATAAGGGTCTCCGGTTTCCTCACCATACGAAACACAGCAGTATTAGTCTTAAACAAATGCTGGCACCAGAGATGCAAAATAAAAATAAAATAAAGATTACCACTCAAGACTCCCTCCATGTTTACATGAATTTTTTATTAATCCATTCGTAACAGATACTTGACATACGGCACTCACGTACATACTTAAAAGACTTGTTTAAACGAAATGTGAAATATTACATTGAAATTAAATTGACGTTCCAGGTTCGGTGAAGTACGAACAACTTGTTAATTTATTGTAAAACGCTTTTTAGTTACGAGTATACATATAAAAGGGAGTCAACGAGCATGCGGCACACGTGATGGTTAGTGACTACCGCCGCCCATGGGTACCTGCAACACCAGGGGATTTGCGTTTCCAGCCTTTTAAAAAAGAATAGGCCCTTTTTTGAAAAAAAAAATCGCTGGTGGTGGTCGATTCTACAAGGGAGTGCGAGGAAGAAATCTATTGGTAAATCACACATTACACTCTGGAGTCGGATAAATAGTATTTTATGTTTTTCTGAACAACTCGATTTTTTTATATATTTTTTGTCACAACTCTTTGTGCTTTGGCCGTGTCAAAGACAAAGCAAGTGGGTAGAACGAAGAATGCTATGAAAGTAAATTCATAAATTTCACCATCACACATCCATCATTAAACAATTTTTTACGTATAATACATGTCTACTTATCTACAAGATAACTCACAAGCTTATTCACTCACACATAACATTCACTACAAAAAGTCAAATAAACAAATATACAACCCGCCGAGCCAGCAATTTTGTGTTACCTGCCGTAAGAACAAACTATGGTTGGGGGAGCACAGTTATACAATCAACTTCCAAAACATGTGAAAGAAGCGACTTCAATCAATATTTTTAAAAGAAGATTATTTGAATATATTTATAATGATGAAACTATGCATTAAAATTATACTTGGACCACCGCCTTATAGTTGATAGGAACTCGCTTCTTGGTTAACGATCGACCGGTAATTTTTTTACTACCCACACGCACTAGAATTATAATATAGATGTTATTGTTCTCATGTAAGTGACTTATTGTCTTAATGAGAAATAAAGTTCTTTAAACCGAACTAGCATTAGTCCTTAATAGCCTTGAAAATCCCGTAGAAATGTCTAATACGGGGCCTGTAAGTTATTCATTTTTGTAATTAATATTACCTAATTAATTTAATCCTCTTAACCGTGGAGTGGTGTAAGAATATCCACTTCCAAATATACATTGAGTGTCGTAAAAGGCGATAGAAACAAGAGGTGGGCAGCAACATCTTACTGATAAAAGCTTAGATGAAAAATCGTGGCCAAGCGTTTTCACTATGGCAAATATCTTGACTATGACTATCTATGACTTTTGATAGGCTGTAATGGAAATTGTTATGGTAATGGTATTTTATCTAACTATTTTTTTTTCAGAAACAGTCATGTCGAATATCACCATGCTGCTCGTAATAGTTTTAATGTTTTTCGAAGTGGCAAAACCGCAAGAGGTAACGACCCTGTCTAGTCTGTTGGAACAGAGAAAGCAACACGCTTTTGAAGTGAACGAGTATTTGAAGAAGTTGTTGAGCCCTGTTCCCACTAGGTAAGTATTAATTACGATAATTTGCCTATATAAATTCCACAGCTTTTCAGCTGTGACAAAGTATCTGAATCAAAAGGCAAAGGCCTTTATTCAGTCTTTTCTTGGAAAGTGGATCAGTTGTGGTGTTATCATTTAGTTGAGGGTTACAGGAATTTTCGGACATATCTGCGTTTTTGATGATAGATATCAGATGTTTTATTTTCATAAACTATTTTGATGTAGGCAAAGACTTCTGTTTACACTACTAGACGGGTACTATACGTTACGTAGCACTAGGTGAATCTCCGCAACTTGTCCAGTCGAGTGCGAGCGGCCGAGACGACTAGTTCTTTGTTTTGTAAACTGCGAACGTTATTTTTGACGCTCTAACGCTGATTTCATTTACTGTAACTAAAAGCGCTGATATTATTTATATGCGCACTTCGTCAAAAAGTTTATTTTAGATAACTCTGTAACTTTTTTCGTATTTACTTTTTATTTTTTTTATATTTTTTATAAAGTTACCGTTACACTAGGATTTTCTCCTGTATCATGGAAGCAGTATACAAACATACATTGCACAAGGACAAACATCCAGACCAGGAACAATTATTTGTAGGCCATACAAATATATGTTCCGTGCGAGATTCGAACCCGCGACCCCAGCGCAGCCACTCATTGCTAAGCCACGGAGCCGTCATTTGCCTAAATACAGTAACTGTCGTAAATGAAGTTTAACCCCCAGTTTAACCCCAGAAGACACAAGTCTGCGCGTTAACCGCTAAAAAGAACCCCTTTGTCGTATCTCCTCAGTTTTAAGGCACTCCCCTTGTTGCCTCAGCCAGTATCGTAATCCTCGGCGTCGACATATCGAGTGACGTGCAGTTTTATGGCCACTTGGAAGAGAAGACCAAATTGGCCTCTAAAAAGCTTAGCGTGCTCAGCAGAGCGGGACAGTATTTCCTGCCTGCAACTTTACAAGGCGCAGGTTCGGCCGCACATGGAATACTGTTTCCATCTCTGGGCTGGGGCTCCCCAGTACCAGCTCCTTCCACTTGACCGCATCCAGCGGGCTCGAATCGTCGACGACCGAGTGCTTTCCGATCGGCTCGATTCACTGGCGCTGCGAAGAGATGTTGCATCTCTTTGCATTTTTTTTCGCATATACCATGGGAAGTGCTCTGAGGAATTGTTCGGATTAATCCCAGCCGCCGAATTTCGTGAACGCGCTACGCGGCAAACGTCCCGATACCATCAACACCATCTGGATGCTTGACGGTCCACCACAGTACGTTTCAAAAGGAGTTTTCTTCCTCGTACAACCTCTCTGTGGAATAGTTTACCACCGGCGATTTTTCCGGACCGATACGACCTGGGGACCTTCAAGAAAAGAGATTACTCCTTTCTAAAGGGCCGGCAATGCACCTGCAATTCCCCTGGTGTTGCGGTTGATCATTTGCGGCGGTAGTCACTGAACATCAGGTGTGCCGCATGCTCGTTTACCCCTCTTATATAAAAAAATGAAAATACAACTGTGTAGCCTATTTACCGTGCAAGATGCCCGCCCGCTCTCGCGAGACCCACAGTTGGGACACAGTTTATATTCTTAATTGCTAGCCAAGTAGCAATCATACAGCATTTGTTCAACAAATGACATAAACCTGAACGCTAAGTAAATGAAAAGAGGAAAAGTATTAATAAAATGCAATGTTAAGACAAGCGAATTTTGTCCGAGGTAACTAAGCTTTCCGTAAATTTCTCAGTACGCAAGCAACCCGGTATGGGTTTGATTACCGTCGATATCAATGAAATTGTTAATTACAATTACAAGTATTGATTTGCCGAATGCTCGGCGGTGTAGGAAAATATAGTGGAGGAAATTTTACTAATCGGTACGATTCATCAGGCAAAGAATGCTATGGCATGCATTTGTTTAACGTTTATTCTATACTTACCAGGCTGGAGAGGCAAGCTGGTGAGTACAGCTTTCTTTATAGGATAAGGGTGACAAGCGAGTACTCATACATTGGCTTTTTAAAAAAATGCTTATTCTTCTAGATATTTAAAAAAAATTGCAACGTCACATCACATCCTTTATTTGGTTCTACTAGGCACGGGCTTGTTCTCATTTCTGAAATGATATTTAGAGCAGTTAGATCTTCACGCTGCTGCATGACGTTTTAGCGGACTCTACATATCCTCGTCAAATATTATGCCTTAGACATTCAGGTTTCCACACGATGTTTTCCTTCGTCACCGAGCACGTCGTTAACCATCACTTAAAACTGCAATTAATAATTTTATTTGTGCCATCGGGGATCGAACCCGGGTTGCTCGCGTACTGTGACATTTACGACAACCCCAGAGCAACCACGGCTGCTGTGTATGTTTAACAATAAATATGTTTGTACAACATTAGAGTTACAAGTAAAAGACACTTGCAGCCAGTTTCAATGAGATATAGATTAAGGACTACTACGGCGGACTCTTCCCAGCTTCGTTACATTGGTTGAATGAAACTAGGGTTTCACGGATTTCAGCCAGGTACAATAGTGGTTTGCAAACTAACAGTTCTCACCTGATGGTGACTTATGTAGCTCATGGATAGCTGCAATCAAATAGAAATTAAGAGAGCTTCAGATAAATTGTCACCACTGAGGATTAACATGGAATGCTTTTCAGCCTGTATTTCTCTGGCTTTCTCTAGACTTTAGACCAGAACACAGTAGCCCTCGCACTGCTGTTTCGTAGCAGAAAAAGGAAAAAGATGATACCTATCCAGACAGAACTTAAGAGCCTTAAATTAGTTTTTATCCATTTCTTTTTGTTCCACATAGAAAAGGCCCAGTTCTCTTCCCTAATGACGCTCCGCCACCACCGCCGACCCCTCTCATCGTAACATCAAGACCTCTAAAAGAGTCGATAGCCAAGAGCGAGCTGAACACAAATCTGACGGGTAATACAATAACGGATCAGTCCCAGCTCAACACGGTGTCTCTCAAGCCAAATTACTTCGCAAGGATCACTAACTACAAGCCCATACCTTTGAGGTTGCCAGCCGGCCAGTCCTCTTCACTGAGAAGTGGTGTTGGTTTCACACTATCACCAACAATTGGATCGAATGTTGTTGATCATGACTACTCCTATGACCCAGCACAATATACGGATATCGTGAAGAAGTCTATCACGGGGGATTTTGGGTTCAAGGAGAGATACCCTGAGTATGATGTAAGTAATTCTTAAATTTCTTCTTTTTCTTCTTCAGTTTACTCTGGGACTGGATATCCTCTATACCAGGACCGCAACAGCCGACGTCTCATATCTTTGACGTTGCTTTCCGTCTTCAGTCAGTAATTCTACATCTGCCGTGTATACTTCTTTCTTGCTTGTGAATGGTTGCTATGCCCTATAGACATCTCTATATATCCTCAATAAAGAATCAAAATGCAGACGCGTTATCACCCCTTTTTTTTTTTAACATGGGGAAATGCCTACGCATACCCGCCTCGCGGGGGCAAGGACGGGTTATGTCGGACTCGCACCGACTAAAACCCCATGGTGTTCCACCTTCGTCGCATATTGGCAGGGCTACGGAAACGCTTTCGCACACTTCTGCGGCCCCACCAGCGACTGCCGCCCCATGGCAGCACCTCATCGGGAGAGGAATATTCCTCCCCGTTCTCCTTCCCAAGTAAGGCGCACCAGAACACATGGCACGCCTTCCTCCACGGCCTCCAATTACATCTGCGCAACAGACGCCCCCGCGTCCGATGCGCGAAGGCCATGAAAACCAGGCCAGGGCCAGGAAAAACGAGCACTTAGAAGTACTAGCCTTCCCGACCCCAGCGGCGGATCTGGCTTATGGCTCCGCCGCCAACCAAGATTCGGCTGCGGAGGATAGGGAGAGCGGCGCCTCGCAATACCGACAATCCTCTCCCCCCGCAGCCCCATCACCACCGCATCAACGGTGCGGCCCCGTTTGAGTCGCGGAGGATAGGGCGAGTGGCGCATCGCCATACCAACACTCCTCTTCCTCCGCGACTCCACCTCGGCTGCAGCGGTAGGTGGGGATGACACACCTCTCACCGCAGTCTACCAATACACATCCGAAGTGGGCTTCCCAAGCCCACTCGGAGTGGCCACCTCGGGCCGGCCCTCCACCTCGGACCAGCCATATGGGTTCCTCTTTGTTTCGCCGTGGGTGACCAAGCCACGGCTTCTAAGCCCCCCCGCCACGACAAGGCGGGAACCCGTTCGGGGGGGCGCGTTATCACCCCTGAGGATTAAGATAGGACACCTCTTATATATAGTGCATGCGACGTGGGAAGGGGGATCGATACACCATATGGGCGTCAATTTAAGGAGTATTTACTTTAATTGTCGCTTTTCAAGCTGATCGATAACCGCAATGCCAGATGTCTGTTGCCGATGTTTTTCCACACCACCAAGCACATGGTAAATCTAGCACATGATACTGCAATTAACAACTTCATCAGTGTTCGCGGGGATCAAGCCCATGTTGCTCGCATGCTGTGAATTTGACGACAACCCCTGAGGCGGAACCCTAAGCTGGAATACCTTTCACGAAATACCATCGTAAAATCGCAGCTTAATGTTTCCGTGTTTCGTATGGTGGGTGTACAGAACCGGAATATTTTTGCTGGAATCGAGGCATTACATCCTAGTCCTCGGGAGTGACAATGCAAGTACATTTTTATTCTTAATAGAGGATAGATGTAGATGGGCCTCAGCAACCACGTACCACCAGGTGGACTGTGTGCCCTTTTGTCACCCAAATTCTATAAAAAAAAATTAATGGAGGTGGATAACACCGCCTCAAGAAGACCTTAAGCGAACATGACTTCAAGCGACTATACTGAAGCCTAGCACTAAGTACCGCTCTAATGAGGCCAAACCCTTAATCCATTTAAGACCTTACTCTAAGAAAGACATGTATCGTAGCGTATAGCATCATCTTGCTTCATCATGATTACAATCCTTCACAAATCCACTGTTAAACATAGGCTTGCCCAAGAAATGCTACAAAGCATGGTCCTGAGCCACCTGAATCAATTAAATTCCCAGGACACTCAAAAATTGTATTTGTTTGTAATACACTCCAAATTCTCCGCTAAGACCTTAATCTTACAGAAAAGTTGATTGTTGTACCTACTTCATTTTAAATTTGGTTCGAAACTGAAGCCACTAATTTTAAAATAAATAAATTTATGCAAAATACTTTAAAAGCAATTAACAAGGTATTCCTTTGCTTAACTGAGGCAGATATAATATAAGTTAGGTTATTTTTATTGTCTGTTTCATCGATTTAACTAACAATTGGTGATAAAGTTTAAAAATTAGATCCTGGCGCTAGGGGATACAGTCTTGAACATGTTACATAATATCTCAGCCATTAAATCAGATTTTCATCATCATTATTGTGCCGTATAACTCAACTGAACGGCTCTTTCCAGGACAGAGGTTTTTTGTCCCGACCAGCGGTAAAACTTAAATAACTTTCAATAATTATTCTTGTAATCTATACTAAATAAAAATTCTTTTAGTAGATTCTATACAATTCTAAAGAACAGTTCCTCCCCCATATGTCCATTGTGAAATTTTTTCCATACTTGCTACGTTTGGCAGGTTTTGGGTTAAAATAGTTAACTAAAAACCTTTTTTTAATAGAATAGGGTGACAAATGAGCACACAGTCCACAGGTAAGTGGATGCTGTGGCCCATTGACATCTACATTTATCCTCGATTAAGAATCAAAACGCAGATGCGTTGTCACCCCTGAGGACCAAGATGGAATGCCTCGTTTCCACTAAAAAGGATCTCCAGATCTTTACACTCTTCATACGAAACACTACAGTATTATGCTGCTATTTTACACTGGTATTCTGTGAGAGCGTGGTCCTTCCCCGGTTGAGTCGACCCATTCGTGCTACATTCATAATATAGCTGCAGCGTGGCTCTACCACGTACCAAAGTAAAGTTGGTTATTATTACAGTCTATATACGTCCCAATGTTGGGCTCAAGTTGCCTCTCATTTCTAAGGTTTTAGGGCCAGAAAATCCGAAATGACAACACTGCATTGGGGCACTGTTGACTGACTTCACATGTCTTCTAAATATCTTTTTTTAATTTCTTACACGGGTCTCTTCTATCATCAATTATAATTGCAATGAATAATTCCATTGGTATCTTTAAAAACTTGGTGTTGTTAAAAACACTGAAAACAGTTTTCCGGACAGACAACACCGAGTGACGATCTTATGTCTGTAATAAAATACAACTAAAAGTATTAGCGGCCTATATTTTGATCTGGGTCCGATGAGGTCATTAATAACTGTAAACTCTGAAGCCTGAAAACAAATCAACAATAATTAACGTTTAAAATAGAGACCGTTGAAGTTAATTCATTACTGTTTAAAGTTATTTGAAGCAACAATAGCTTATTGGTATAGAGCTCGAACCGCAGAATTTGAAGCTTGAAAGTCTTAGGTTCGAAGCCGCCACTGTAACAGTAATGAATAGAGTATGTTTGTTCTAGCACATTTTGTTAAACCTAGCCTCCGATAGCTGATCATGAGGTTCCAGGTTCAAATCCCGAGTCGGGCCAGAATTAGTTATTGAGATTTTCTGTCCGTAAATTCTCAGTCCGGGGTCAGGAAGTTGGCGGTCTTTCACCTCCGTTTTGGAAAGCACGTAAAGCCGTTAATGATTCGCCTGATTTCTCTCAGGTCGTGTACCTACTCGTTGTATTACCATCACATCGCACTACTGAGACTGAAAGTAGAGAATTTACCTATGCTAGCGCATACACTTGTGCACTATAATCCTGTCCTACTAAGATGGCTTGTCTTCGTTGAAAGTGGCCGGCGTAACAGAAATTCGGTCTGGACGACAATATTATAATAGTTTTCTCATCTGGTCGGGCTGTATAAATATAAATATATATAACGTGGTAGAGCCATGCTGCAGTTATATTACTGGTATAGTTGTAGCACGAATGGGTCGGCTCGATCGGAGAAGGACCACGCTCTCACAGAATACCAGCGTAAAATAGCAGCTTAACGCTACTGTGTTTCGTATGGTAAGTGCCGGAGACCTTTTTTACTAGAGACGAGGCATTCCATCTTAGTCCTCAGGGGTGCTGCGTTTTGATTCTTTATCGAGGATAAATGTATGTATAAAATGACGGTGTGCTCGTTGTTATATAAAAAACATAATTTATTATTATTATTACAAACGGTTGAAATGTATGTATACAGTATGTTTATTTCTGCACATTGTGTTACAACTCGTTTCATTTGCAGGATAAGGTTACTTTACCTCCGATATACAACGCGATCTCACAGCACGCGGAGCAAAACGCATTGAAAACACAGCAAAGTCATCCTGTCTACGATTATCAGGTAAGGAATATTGATTTGTATTGGTACTGAGCTTTTTCTATCAAGTAATTCTCAGACGCAGCGCGGAGTCAGAAATTTGGTGGTTTTTCAACATCGTTTTGGAAAGGGTCCCGCTGGGTTTATTGATGAATCTTTCCAGGACAGACGAATTTTTCGAACCAGTGGTAAATAAATAAATGACTTTCATTAAGTATTATGTAATAGTCTATATTGAATAAAAACCATTCTTTTATACTCCAGAGTTAATATAATATATGACATATAACTCATCGAATGACTTACCAAATTACTAAGTGAAGCTAGTTCCCAGTGCCCTACCATGCTACATCAGTGCAGCATTAGGACCATGTTTGGCAGGACTGCATTCTATCAGGGGTCAAAAAATGTATCAGTACATAACATATATTATGTATTATATAATAATATATTGTGTATCATTTAGACAATATATCATAACTCTAATTTATATTTTTCAGCATTTCAGTAATAAATCTAAACCCTTATTTTTACAGTCAAAGCAGCAAATAAATCAGTACGATTCCAACATTTACTCAGATGAAGGGAATAACTCGCAAAACGCAGAGGCAAGTACACCTTCAAAATACATATCTTACTATTATATTGTCGTATGTTTTAAGTTTATATTGATGTCGCCTAATACGTGTCACATAGTTTAAATATAGAATAAGATATAGATTACTTATTTTCTTAAGAAATAGATGCTTACACTCGGTTGATGGAATATAAACAGCACATATGTAAGCGGAGTATTTGTAAGGTGTGGTGGTTTTATCGATAATAGTCTCACAGTGTATTTATTTACTTCATTACCATTACAGCCCTTCACAAGTCCTCTGCTAAACATAAAACTACCCCCAAGGAACGCCACAAAGAACGGTCCTGATCCACCTGCATACATCGACTTCCTGCATGTATTTCCAGGTCCTCACTTTATTTAGAGGGTACGCCCTACAATTTGTCTACCGGTACGGTATTTTGATTTACGTTACTCAAAGGAAAGTCAATTATGTCAAATTGTTTCAGGAAAAGAAATTTCTGCCACGTTGCCCCTATACGATTTGCGTTCCCCGTTTGCGCGTCCCACTGCTGGGCACAGGCCTCCTCTCATTTCTGAAAGAGTTTAGGGCAATGAAAGATCCACCGCCCCACCCCAAAGCACGTTGGCGGACAGCGCACGTTTTAAAATATCTTAATTATTAATATCTCAGACGTGCAGGTTTCCTTACAATGTTTTCTTTTATTACCAAGCAAACAATTTTATTGGTACTGTTGGCGATCCTGGTTTGATCGCATATTTTAAGTTTTCACTTTATTTATACTCTTTAGTTACAAATTTATTTTTTATAGAAAAAGGGTGACAAACGAGCATACAGTTCACCTGATTGTAAATGAATGCTGTGACCAATAAATATTTTTATCTATATCCTGCGGACTAAATGGAATGCCTCGTTTCCAGTACAAAAGAGAAGTAAGTAAGTAAGTAAGAATAGGATGACAAACGAGCACACAGTCCACCTAATGGTAAGTGGATGCTGTGGCCCATAGACGCAAATGCGTTGTCATCCCTGAGTACTAAGATGGAATGCCTCGTTTCCAGTAAAAATGGTCTCCGATTATCTACCCACCGTACGAAACACAGCGAAATGCTGCTATTTTACGCTGGTATTCTGGAGAGCGTAGTCTTACCTCGGTGGAGTCAACCCATTCGTTGAATGGGTTGACTCCACCCAAAAAAAAAAAAAAAAAAAAAAAAAACAGCCATAATATAGTTGCAGTATAGCTCAACCACATAAAGCATGATGGCAACATTTTATTATACTACTACCATTACATACACAAATACCAATTTATTTTGTATTATATAACACGTATAAAATAGGGAAAGCCACTAGCAGTGAACTTTTAATAAGCTGTTATGATAGTGATGATGATGTAAAACAATTTAAACATTATTAATTATATTACTTTCTAGGACAAGGGCTACGCGTTTTCCTACATAGTGAAAGATCAAAAAACTGGCGACGATTTCTCCCATTCCCAACGCAGCAGTGGTTCCGCTACAAACGGAGAGTACCGAGTTAGATTACCTGATGGTCGTTTACAGATAGTTTCGTACACAGCAGATGAGAACGGATATAAAGCTGACGTGAAATACGAAGTGGACAGCACTGGGAACAGTGCTGATTACAACTTTGACAAACAGAACCAAAAAGAACCAAATACCCGCAAAGGTTATAACGATAACTCCAATCAATTTACTAATAATGCAGCAAAATATAATGGCGAAAACAATAAATTCTATTCCGAATATAATTCACCAACAAAAGTAGAATTATATCAAGACTTATCCAAAGAATATTATAATGATTATTCTTCAGAATATGGGACTAAGAATTATGATCCGCATCACAGTAAATTTGCAGATTTACTCCAAGGGGAAAAAACTGATAAGCTTAGTAATTTAAACTTCAAAACAACTTTCGACCAGAATTATCTAACATCAACACTAAAACCTAATTACCAAGAACTCAAAGATGTTTTAACGAAAGCCTTGCCTAATGTACAACCAACGTTCAATTATAACTATCCTAAATTAGAAACAACAACAGAGAACTTAGTACTAATTGGTGATCGAAATCGATTTACAAGTCCTAACACACCCTCGTTCTCTTCAGACTTTAATAGTTTTGTGGCTTCCACTCCTAGAAGCTATCTAGTTTCGACTATTGATAGTCTGAGAGGTAGAGTAGGGTCCAAGCCTCTATTATCGGATAGCTTTATTAACAGAATCAACAAGTATTTATCTTTTAAGTGAGAAGTTTGTTTTATTGTTAAGGGAAACTAATTCGTTTGAATAGTTGCGTAAGACAAATTGGACAGAAGTTGTACTTAAATTAACTTTGTTGTAAATGTTACGTCTCGATTTCATTATGGAATTGTCTGACATGTTTAAAGTTAGCACAAGATCTGTTCGTGGATGGAGCTAATGAAATAGTTCGCGTTTATTTGATTTCAAAATTATCTTACATAATATTTTATTATTTTTTTTTTTTTTTTGGAAAGCCTTTAAAAGTCTTTTTATTGTAATAAGTACTTTATTCTTAATTGTGTTATTGTGTTCGTCCTTCCATCGTATTTTGTATATAGTTATTTAAACTGTCTTAGAATATATTAGCATTTAAGTTGTACATTAACAACTGATAAATTAAATATATTTTTATTCACAATAATAATGATACCTTTTTTCCAACTGTCCACTGTTGGATATGTCTCCCCTACAGTGGTAAGTATTTGCTATATTAGTAGACCTAGAGAAAATAAAATAAAATATAGGTTACAAGTAATTTTTATTGAAAGGCATATTTTACTTACTTTTAGCACTGGTTCGGAAAAAAAGCTTCTGTCCTGGGAAGAAACGGCAAGATACCTAGCGAGAAAAAATTCCAGCTAAGTCAAAGTAAATTACACAATAAGAAAAAATTTTAATTTACAGCCTTTGTACGTCTCACAGCTGGGCACAGGTCTCTTTTCATATCTGAGAGGATTTTAGGGCATATAAATGTCCGCCGCGCTGCATTAGTGCCTGTTGGTGAACTTCACATGTCTTCGAAAATATTCTTTTTTCTTATTTCTCAGACATGCAGGTTTCTTCACGATGTTTTCCTTCACCGCCGAGCACGTGATAAATACAATACAATAAGGTTATACAAACTATTAACAAAACTTATTTAAGAAACAGATAATAATATCCTCCAGACCGAATTTCGACCACGGCGACCTGCCTCAACGGCGGCTAGCCATCGGCGCAGAACAGCATTATAGTGCCTAAGTGTATGCGCAAGCACAAGTGCACTCTCTATTCCCTCATTCTCATAATCCGATGGGACGGTAAACCGACACGACCGGAGAGAGATCAGGCGCAGGACTAACGGCTTTACGTGCTTTCCGAGGCACGGGGTGAGATACCGCCAACTTCAAGACTCCGGGCAGCTACTGAGAATTTCTTGACAGAAAAACTCAATAATTAATTTTTGGCCCGACCCGGGATTCGAACCCAGAACCTCATGATCAGCAGTCGCACTACTACAAGCGCTGGACCAACGAGGCAGTCAGGGCAACAAGTGTAAGAAACAGATAAAACTTATTTAAGAAATATGTAGTTTTATACAGGCATATCCTAAGCAATAATTATTTGACGCTAGGCCCTGGCGTCGATCTGGTTACTTCACATCTGGGGTAGATGACGAGATGATTATACCACCATCTACCGGAGCTCTATGTAGTATTTTCCATATTCGCTTCATAACGACACCCACAATCTATAAAGATATGGAACAGTCAGGATATGGAAAGGATAATGTATTGAAAAGAATAGCACTCACTTCAAATAAGTTGAGTAGGATGTGCAAAAATCAAAGTAAAACACATAATATGATGATTGATTTTTTTTATTAATTGGTGACCAACGAGCACACAGTCCACGTGATGGTAAGTGGTTGCTGTGGCCCATAGACATCTACATCTATCCTCGATTACGAATCAAAATTCAGATGCTTTGTCACCCGTGAGGACTAAGATGAAATACCTCGTCTCCAGTAAAAAAGGTCTTGGGTTTTCTACACTCACCATACGAAACACAGCAGCATTAAGCTACTATTTTACGCTGGTATTCTATGAGAAAGTGGTTCCTCCCCGGTCGAGCCGACCCATTCGTGTTACAACTATACTACTAATATAACTGCATGACTCTGCCACGAAAAGATTACTTCATTATTGTTATACGTGCTGACCCGGCAGGCATTCTCCCGCCCTATCCAAGAGATGGCGCGATGAGTATAATTCCGAATTCAATCAGGGCTGATATCAGTGTAGATGTCAAAAACTGTAATCTATCAGGTCCAGATTTTGTAACTGGTTTTTAGGACTATACTAACATCTATTGTGAATGTGTCGTTTTGATCTATAGATATATAGTTTGCTAATATCTTGACTACAGTGTAACCTATCGGATTCTTACATAGCTGTGAACTATTTTCTCTTCAAAACAAAATACATTGTGTGAGACTGCCTTGTAAATTTAATGTTCGTAGGCGCGACTGCTGATCGTGAGGTCCCGAGTTTGAATACCGGTTGGAGATAAATCAGTAATTGAATTTTTCTGTTAAGAATTTCTTACTAGCAGCCCAGGGTCACTAAATTGGCGGTTTTTCACCCCCATGCCTTGGAAAGCACGTAAAGCCGTTGGTTCTGCGCATAATCTTTCGCCGTTCGTGTCGGATTTCCGACCAAACGGACTATGAGAGTGTGTGATTAGAGAGTGTGCCTGTGTGTGCGCGCAGACTCGTGCACTATAACCTACGCCCCTTTCATGCGCAAGATGGCTGACCTCCGTTAGTTTGGCCACCGTGATCGAAACTCGGTCTGGAGGACATTATCGATAATGTGTGAATATGACTTCAATAGGTCAAGTCGTTCAAAAGTTACATGATCAATAATCAACGATTATAATATATAGATTAGACTGAAGAGACCTGATAGCTCAGAGGCTAAGCAGACGCCGTAATTTTAACAGAGTTTGATCCAACTAAGTTATAGTGTGTGTATGTTTAAATGAAAAAGCATATTATTCTTTAAATGAACTCCTTAACGATACATTTTGACCTTAAAATATTATATTATTAAACAACATTAACTACATACCTGTCACGACAGGTGCCAATTAATACTAGATGACAATTAGAAAAAATGATGACGGTTATTATATGTACATTATAACTTTATTATGTTAAAAATATTATATATTTAATTATTTCAGTTAGAAACTGAAATCAGAAGAGAAAAAAATGTTATTAATGAATGTTGCACTTATTATTCTATATTTTGTACGCCTACTGTCGGGACATAGAGAAACTACCTTATATTTTACTATGTACATATCGAGATCTGTTAATTAACCTATTATATAAATTAAACTAGCAAGTTGGCAACCGCAGATTTTTTTAGTCGTTATTAGGAAGATACTGCTGCTCATCTCCTGATATGTTTTCCTTTGTCGTCTCCAACGACACCCACGGAATGATATGGGGTCGTGGATATTCTTGCACCGTCACTATACAGTCGTCATAAATCAATGATTTCAAAAGGAAGGATAGGCCCATCTAAATATTTTACTCATAACATTTTCATACAAGAAAAAGTAGCGCATCTGTCATAATACAAACGTCATATCAAAACACCACGTAACCAGGGTCGGATTTCGTAGTATAATTATCATAATTGTATCATTATTTCATAATTTGTAGTACATTGTATCGTAATAATACTAAGCGAAAATACCATAATAATACCTAAAGGTCGACTTGTATTATTATTGGGTCCTTTTACATTTTAATATTAACCCTACGATATCGAGAATTTCTATATTGTACATGAGTACAGCATTTTTTTAATAATGTTAGAATTAGCTCCCTTTCTGGTTAATCGATGAAAAAGAAACATGAAACGTCAAACGGGATATAATTTTTTTTAAATAGTATAATTTTATTTCCTATGTACAATATTTTTGGGGATCTGCATCCAACCCTGGCCTAATCTTGGTAACGTAACTAAACTAACTGTATAATAAAACTTTAAAAATGCGTTTATATAAAATTATTTAATGGTAAGAAAATTAATATAAGGTTATTTACCGATGATACGATATCCCATGTTTCTTTTAAATCTTTGTATCGTAATTTTGCGTTCTTTTACCACGCAACTAGACATATTTGTGACAGGCAATCTGCCAAAAAATCAAAACTGTCCTGCGCGCGCACCACTGTCGACGATTCGCACTGGCCCTAACATCGGTCACAAATAGTGATCGATATGCCCTAAACTGTAATTTTAGGGCCAACGCAATGGTCCGTTTTAGTTGTTCGGTCGGCCCGGTCCTTACTATAATAATAATAAAATATAATAATAATAAAATAATTTATTAGGCACTTAGCTTGGCAAATTACATTTATGTGTTATATCTATTTTAAATTATCTATTTTAAATGTGGGAACACTCTATGAATACAGGAATACCATGTCTGACGATCCAAATATTTCGGTAACATGTGAACTCTGGCAATAAATTCTGGAGCAGCACGAAATACTAATTGCCCTTTAACCGTCTTAGAAATGAGAAGATATAAGCTAGCAATATAATAAATTATTGCTTATTGTAGTAATATTGCTTCACTATTATTATATTATGTTTAGTAGTCGATGGATGCAGTTAGCTTTTTTTAATTCAAAATGGGCTCAGTGACCTTCATCTGGCCCGAAAGCAAAGATGAGGTCTACGATGGAATGAGTTTGCCCCAGAGAAGCCTATTAACACGCATCTTGAAAAGGTTAACGTTAGATGCACTCTGGAAAACGGATGTCGGCAGGGCAAATCACTTCTTGACTGTAAACATTATGAAAGGTGAATTATAGCGCTTAGTGCGAATATTTAGAATATCAACCAAGTGTGGATGGTAACCTATAGTAATAGGTCTGGTACTCCGATAGAAGAATTTTTTCTATTAGATTTCGTACGTGGTAGAGCCATGCTGCAGTTATATTAGAAGTATAGTTGTGGCACGAATGGGTCGGCTCGACCGGGGAGGGACCACGCTCTCACAGAATACCAGCGTGAAATAGTAGCTTACCTAATGCTGCTGTATTTCGTATGGTGAGTGTAGAGAACCGGAGACCCTTTTTACTGGAAACAAGGCATTCCATCTTAGTCCTCACGGGTGACAACGCATCTGCATTTTGATTCGTAATCGAGGATAGATGTGGA